ATCCTCATCCAAGGATTTTTTTTCCCATTGCTCTTCAGAGAGAGTGGGAGGGAGAGAGAGAAACAGAGAGAAACATTGATGTGAGAGAGAGACATTGACTGGTTGCCCCTTGCACGTGCCCGACCGAAGCCAGGGATTGAGCCTACAACCAAGGTATGTGCCCTTGGCCAGAATTGAGCCCGGGACCCTTCAGTCACAAGCTGATGCTCTAACCACTGAGAAAAACCAGCTAGGGCATATTTTCTCTTTTTTTAATATCAAAATGAGATCATACTTTCCATACAATAGCCTTCTTTTTTCAGCATGTCATAGAACTATTTGTATCAAAAATACAGATCCATGTCCTGTCTGACACATGGTTTTTATTTAACCATCACCTTATCGGGTGGGTATTTAAGTTGTTTATAGTTTTCCACTATTATATATGTTTATGATGAACATTCATAATTTGTATATGTAAATATAACTGTTACTGTTTAAAATTTTTATTGTGGTTACATATACACAACCTAGAATATACTATTGTAACCATTCCCAAACATACAGTTCGGTGGCATTAAGTACATTCACACTGTTGTGCAACCATCACCACCATCCACTAACTTTCCTTTCTGCCTTCTCCAAGCCTCTGGTAACTTCTATTTTCTGTCTCTATGGATTTGATTATTCTAGGTATCTCATATATATGGAATCATACAATATTTGTCCTTTTGTGAACTTACTGATTTGTAAATTACAGAAGTAATATACATGTTATGGAAAAATCGGATAGTACAGAATAAATTCAAAGAAGAAAATGAAAATCACTTGTAATCCCATTACCCAGAGAAAAATCATTGACCACTGGTAATGTGTCATCTTCTGCATTTTCTGTCATAGCATATGTAAAATCAACAAAATCCTTTAGATTTAAAAAAACACACAAAACACTTATTGTCAGCAAGGGTGGTGGGAAAAGGTGTAACCATTTCAGGGAACACTTTAGAAATGTGTATCAAGAGTGATTAAAATGTTCCCTCTTTGGCACAATAATTCTCCTTATTAATAAGAATATACTCTAAAGAAATAATTTGAGCAAACATTTGTGTACAAAAGACACTCATTATAATATTAAAAGGAAGAGAAATTGGAAAGGCATTAAAGAGTTAATGATAGCCCTAGCCGGTGTGGCTCAGTGGTTAGTCTTCAGAGTACGTTTTTTTACATCTAGTTAAATTTATTTCAAGTATTTTATATTGGATGCTATTATAAGTGGAATTCTTAATTTCCTTTTTAGAATGTTCATTACTAATATCTGGAAGTGCACTTGATTTTTGTATATTAATCCTGTATCCTGCAAGCCTTGCTGAATTAATAGTTCAAATAATTTTTCTGTGAATTCCTTAGTATTTTCTATATGCCAAATTATATCATCTATGAATATGTATTACTTCTTCCTTTCTGATCTGAGGTCTCTTAATTCTTTTTCCTTCCTTAATTGCCCTGCTAGAACATTCTATACAAGGTCCAGTAGAAGTGGTGAGAGCAGACATCCTTGTCTTGTTCCTGATCTTGGGAGGAAAGCTTTTCAAAAAGTCTTTTACCATTGACTATGATGTTAGTTGTGAATTTTTCATAGATGCCCTTTATCGGGTTGAAGAAGTTTTCCTCTCAGTTTGTTGAGTGTTTTTTTTTTTTTTCATGAAAAGGTGCTGGATTTTGTCACATGCTTTTTCTGTGTCAGTTGAGAAGATCATGTGTTTATTGTCCTTTATTCAGTTAATATGGCATATTACACCGATTGATTTTTCAGCTGTTGAACCAACTTTGTATCCGACATAAGTACCACTTAGTTGTGGTGTATAATCCTTTCTATATGTTGCTGGTTTGGTTTGCTAGCATTTAGTTAAGATAATTAAAAAGAATTTTTTTTAATGTATTGTGTGTGTTTTTTTTAGGGAGAGAAACATCAATTTGTTGCATTTATTTTTAAACATTTTGAGATTTTTTAAAAAGATTTTTTTATAATGTGTAGAGAGAGGGGACGGGAGAGGGAGGAAAAGAGAGAGAAGCATCGATGTGAGAGTGAAACATGGATCAGCTGCTTCCTGCCTGCCCCTACTAGGAATGGAGTCCGAAACTTGGGCATGTGCTCTGACCTGGAATTGAACCGGCAGCCTTTTGGTGCACGGGATGACACCCAACCAACCTTTTGGTGCACAGGATGTCACACCAACCAGGGTTGTTCCGCTTACTTATGCATTCATTGGTTGATTCCTGCATGTGACCTGACCTGGGATTGAACCTGCAACCTTTGTGTATCAGGGTGATGCTCTGACCATCTGAAATACCTGGCCAGGACAAGATAATAGACTTTAAAGAGAGAGAAGGCAGAATATTAAATTGTGTAGTATGATCTCAAGAGAACAGGTGTATTTTTTTTAAATATATCTTTATTGATTTCAGAGAGAGGAAGGAAGAGGAGGGGAGAGAGATAGAAACATCAGTGATGAGAGAGTCACTGATTGGCTGCCTCCTGCATGCTCCCGACTGAGGACTGAGCCCGAAACCCGGCATGTGCCCTGACCGGGAATCAAACCGTGATCTCCTGGATTCTAGGCCAATGCTCAACCGCTGAGCCCCGCCTGGCCGGGCTTTTTTTTTTTTTTTTTTTTTTAAGAGGGCCCAGCCGGACGGGGCTTAGACTTTCTGGAGGGCGTTTTGGCAAAATGTATCAGGGCCCAGAAATTCTGTATTTAGGGATTTACCATAAAAAATTGTTTGGACATCTATGCAAGATATATGACCACAGTGTTCAACAGTCTGAATATCCATCAGTAGATTACAGTGTGGGATGAATAGTAATTGATAGTACTTGGGTTTAAAATTATGTATGTTTAGGTGTGTGTACTTTTTAAAATTTCTAGAAAGCTGAGCACAAACTGGGAGGCCACTGGAGTTGGTCTTTTGGTGGTAGGGTTCCTTCCAGAGGCTACAACTTTTCTGTGTCCCAGTTTGGTCATTTAAGAAATACCTTTGAGCCCAGCCAGGCGTGGCTCAGCGGTTGAGCATCCACCTAGGATCCAGGCGATCAGGGTTCGATTCCTGGTCAGGGCACATGCCCAGGTTGTGGGCTCAATCAATGACTGTCTCATCATTGATGTTTCTATCTCTCTTTCTCCCTCTCCTTTCCTCTCTCTGAAATCAATAAAGATATATTAAAAAAACAAAAAACCTTTGAGTACAGGCTGGACACTGGCAGAGCTTACTTCCTCTGGGGAGGTGGTGGGAGGTAGTGTTTAGATACCCAGGATGGGTGATTTGGAGGGACCAGTGACGGTATCAGTTAAAATTTGTCCTCTGGGTGCCCCATCCTTGCCGAAGAAGGACTGGTATCTATGTGGGTAGTGAAGACTTTTTCTGTCCCCATACTTTAATTTCAAGTCCCAAATTTCCCATGCCTCCTGCATGTTAACACAGGCCTTCTCCCTGACATTTGTCTGGGAATAGCATATAGAACCCACCGCCCATTATGGGTAAGGAGAGAATTGCGAGAATGTGACCCGGGCACCGAAACATCTGATATTTGTAGGACCTTATTTTTAGGAGGCACAGATATAGTCTTTTCTTTAACTTTAAAAAAATAAAAAGTGTGAAACAATTCCTGCCCTCCAAGGTTCAAAGGTCTTTCCCCACCACCCGCTAACCCCTGGATCAGATTTAACTTTCACGCCTAGATGCCAGCATTAGCACTGCTGTCTAAATTGACTCCTCCTGGTAGATGTTTTCATTCAGGCAGCCCATTGCCGACCCTCTCCACTGTCCTCCCACCTTCCTGTTTCAGCGCTTCATTTTACTTGTCTTCTCCCCTAGGTACTGCTTCTCTGAGATGGCCCCAGTGTGTGCAGTGGTTGGCGGGATCTTGGCCCAGGAAATTGTGAAGGTAAATAGTCACTGTGGAGCAGAAGACAGTGATCCACCGCACACCTTGTAGAAGTGCCGAGAGAGTGCCCTGGGCTGTCTGAGCTCCCTGGTTTCTCTGACCCCGCTGGTCCTTGTTTCATGCTCCACCCTTTTCCTTTCTTCCCTTTTCCAGCCTATCCCATTCTCTCCAGCCCACCCAGGTGGGCATTCAGCAAGTGCCCTGAGTGCCGCCTCTGTGCTGAACCCAGAGCTGGACATGGTGCTACCTGCACTCCCTTAGCTGAACCAACCAGGGGTCTGGTGCTTTTGAGGTTTCCAGGTATTCTGATTCTCGTGGCTCTGTGAAATCAGTCCTGTCATGACCCCCTCTTATGGGAGGACACTACTGAGGCCCTTAGAAGGGACTCCAAAATCCGTGCTCTTCACCTCTGTCCTTCACCATGGCCTCAGAGTTTCCTCTTGTTAATACACCATAGCTATTTACAGAGAAGGAGGAAAAGCTGTACCAGTGCCTGTGCCAGGAGGCGCACAGGCTCTAAGGGTGACCTGTGACATGTTAGGTAAGTGTCATTGGCACTCTCAGAAGGGAAGTATCTTACCTGGGGTCATATAACCACAGCTAGCACAGCATTTTAAATTTATTCTAGAACATTCGGGTTGCTAAAACTAGACCATGCCCTCTAGTTCTGCTTTCTTTGGGGACTTTGATATTTGCCCAGAGACGTCGGATTGGCCTTTATCAGGTTCTGGGTGCTCGTAGACTTGCAGTGGTGGTTTGTTCTCTTCTGTGGGCAGCGGTGCCTGGTGAGTGACAGTGCAGTGATGGAGGATCATAGGTGGGAACGGATGCGTATGTATTCTTGTAGCCTGTAGTGACCACAATGATAGATAAGCATGAGCCACCCAAAGACTGTTCTTTACATGGATGAACTCATTCATCCTCACAGCAACCCCATGAGATAGGAAATGTTGTGATCCCTGCTGTAGAAAGTGGGGATGGAGGTGTGGGGAAGTATGGTGCTGGGATTGGAGCCCAGGCAGTCTGGTTTCTGGGCCTGTGCTCTTTACTACTTGGCCATTGTGCCTTAGGCGCTGTCCCTAAATGACACCCCATCTAGCTATCTACGTCTGCATGGACCCAGAGCTGCTGCCCTTGCCGTCCCCGGGCTCACTTTTGTACATCCCACCGAGAAGCCGCTCCCTGGATTTTTCATACGGGATGGAGATTGGGGGTCAAGGCAGGTGGCCTTGACCCCATTGTTTGCAGCGGCTTCTCTGCATCCCAGTCCTAACCTCTAATGCAGCCCCCTCCTCTCTGCCTGCTGGGGACAGCTGTTGCCCAGCATCTTGTTTCTGTTTATGCCAGATAGCCAGAGCACTCTGCATTCTTGGTTGCTGGGCGTGTCTGGAATCTCCTACCCCCATCTGGCTTGGGAAGCACTTTACCTTTTGCCCCATGTTCACCCCATGCCCTGCTGTCCTGTCCCTACCACTCCCCCACCTCTACTTAACACAGTTCCAGGCAGCTGGCAGTAGGGTCCTGCAGTCTGAGGGCCACAGACCTCTCCCTTCTCAGAGACCATCTGACCACTTAAAAAGTGAACAGTAGGAGATGGAGGACAAATGTAAAAGCCTGTTTTCTCGGAATCTTTATTTCCTTCCCCCCTTATATCATCTCAGAGACCATGTATTCTGCCCATGTCCCCGTTATGTCATGCTTCCTTAGGTGAAATCGTCCTTCCTTTCCCCACTGTCCACAGTAGGTCTCCCTGTCCACAGTGCTACAGGTGATAGTGACAACAGTGGCCACCCCAGGCTCTGTTAAGTCGATTGTATCATCTGTAAGTTGGATTCATTCCAGGCTCTAGGAGTCCAGCTGTGGGTTCTTGGGCCCTTCCACCTGGCCGAGTGCTTGAGATCCTCAGCCACTGGTAAGGGGTGCCTGGCCCCATTAGTAGTAGCAGCTCCCACTTACTGAGAGTTTGCTCTGCTCCAGGCACATTACAGGATGATCATTTCATTCTCACCAGAGACCCTCACAGGCAGGCACTACTTATTTGCCTTTTCATGTGCATGCCAGGGGCAAACATGTCAGATCCAAGCCCCATCCTTAGTATCTAGCACTATACCTAACACAGAGCAGATGCTGAAAACACTTCTTTGGACAAATGGCTGAAAAGCTACTTGAAGTAGTATATGATTATCCCTTTTTACAGAAGAGGATTGGCACTCAGTTTAAGGAGAAGTTTGGGATGTTTAGAGCAATTTCTAACCCTGTAAATGAGGTCTTGCCTTATGAGTGACAATATGGTGTTCCCTGGAACCTCAAAACACTGCCTAGAAGCTGGCTTAGGTGATGTCCTCTTCAATTGGTAACCCTATTTGGGTCCAGAACCTCATAGAAAAGGCACCGGCATGTATGAACCCAGTATACACATGTATACACATGACTCAGCCTGTGATTTCAGGTTGTCTAAGCCTGTCCTTAAAAGTGCTGTGTCTTGTTAATCCCACGAGACAGTCACTGTGTCTGTGGGAGAACAGCAGAGCTCCCAGGCCTTCCCTGTGGAAGGCAGGCCGCTCGGTCTCCTAGTGAAGGCTTCAGCTAAGACATGTGGAGTGAGTCACTGCCTTTCTCAGTCACAGTCATAAATAATTATCACTGCCGTTTGCCAGGCGCTGGTTAAGGTACTCAAGGTACATCATCTCTCTTAATGCCTAAGATAATACATTTGTTATGTTTGCTTTACTTGGGAAAAGTAAGGTTGAGAGAGGCTAAGTGATCTGTCAGAGGGCACACAGCTGGTAAGGGCCAGCACAGACACATGACAGTCAACAGTGTCTCCATGTGCGTGCTCTCTAGAGCACACGCGTCCTTTCCACCACCTTCCCCCAGGCACCTTATCTCTGCCTTCTTTCTCCTGAGCTCCAAGGGCCCTTCTTTTGCCTCTGTAATTTGTTTCCTGAGCCCACACAGCCCAGCTGGCTCCCTTTTTCTATCTTGGACTTTCTAAATAAACTTCTGCTTGTATTTGGGGGAAAAAAAGTTTCCAGACGTGGCCAAATAGCCCCTGGGGAGCAAAATCAACCTCTATTGAGAAACCACTGCGCACGCTGCTTACAGAAGATCTGGTGTGGGGTGGGCCCCCCCCATTTTATTCCTTTTCAAGCACTTGAGCTGAACCCTCTTGTTTTTCTCCCCAGGCCCTGTCTCAAAGGGACCCACCTCACAACAACTTCTTCTTTTTTGATGGTATGAAGGGAAATGGGATTGTGGAGTGCCTCGGCCCCAAGTGAACCCACGACCTGGCAGCCCCAGAGATGCTGACCCCCAGTGTGCCCGCATGTGTTCCCCACGCCCTTCCTCCCACTGAGGCATCTCTAGGCAAGAGGAGAGTGAAGTCATTGGACCAATGCAAACTATTTCCCGCGTGCGATGAGGTTGTGCAGATGTGCTCCTTGCGGACACCAGCAGCTGCTGCACATTAAAGGGCGGAGGGACTGGCTGTCTCCATCCAGTACTGCGCAGGACTGTTTGCAAGCTCCCCTGAGTGGCCATCACCTGAAAGCACCCTCTGACACCTCTTTGTCCTGGTGCTGTCACGGTCACCAGGCCTCTGGGGTACAGCTAGAGATGCCTGCCAGGAACCAACACGCCTGGTTGCTTAGTAGCCTCTCGCTACCTTCTTGGACTTATTCCTCGCCTGATGTCACGTAGCAAGGAGCATGACCTCAGGGGGGGAGTAAGGCCCAGGCCCGATGAAACACTAGTGGAACTGCAGTTCCAAATGCAGACAGGTGCCCTGAGAGGAAAAAACATGGCAGGCGGGATGTATTTCCTCCAAAGTTTGAAATCCTGAAAAACAACAGGTGGCATCTGGTGCGCTGTTCCTGAGTTTTAGTTGAGGATTAGTGATTCCAGCCTGGGCTGTGGAACAGAGGAAATGGTACCAGGTCCTTTTGGGCATTAGGGCAAGACCTTGCAAGTTGAATATTAGTAGGAAAATTTGTATTAAAAGGCAGGTGCCAGGGCCCTATCCCCTGGGGATTCTGCTCTGGGGCCGCGCAGGGAGAGATGAGCCTGTCGTCTCTGCAAACCCCAGCTCTGATGTGGCGCTGGAGACTGTTTCATTTAAGGGCTGTGTTGGTCCTTCATTTACCCCTGAATGGCAGCTGTTTGTGTTTTTTTATATTTTCTAGATTCCCATGGTTCTTTAAACAGGAATTATAGAAATAAAGTTATCTGCTTTAGGACTTGTTTGTTTTTCCTCCACATTTGAAACATCCTCTGATGGGGAGTGATCCCACCAATTGCCTTTTTAAACCTGAAGAAATTCCACGGGATGCTCTAAACATGAGTCCAAGATGCCCCCCCTCCAATACTGTCCCTGCCACCGTTTTTCTGGGTAATGCAGCAAAAGTTAGAGTGTGTAGAAGCCTCTGATTCCAGTTGTCTGTTGAATGATTCAGTCACATAGTGGCTATTCTCAGTGACAAGAGTTATTATATAGGCAATGGAGTAAAACATGGTACGGATGCTGCCTTTTATGTAGCTCATCTCTGCACCAGACAGTGTGCAGAGTAAAAGTGGGCAGTGAAGGTAAGTGACGCTTAAGTAACATGCCCAGTCCCACTGCTGGTCCAAGTCAAAGCTGTCACGGGAACACCAACTCTGAGCAGGTTCCTCCTTGATGTAAAATTGTGTGAGGTTTGGGCCTGGCCAGTTTGAACGAATAAATTCGCTCCCTTCCTGTTTTAATCGTGTTGCACTCTAAAAAGAACTCTCTGGGAGGTAGAACTCAGTTCCCAGCTGTCCCTCCGGGTCACCTCTGCTCCCACCTTGGTGAGGCAAGGGCTGCGTTTCTAGAGGGACCTTGTGACACTGAGGTCGGGTTTTATTGTTGCGTGAATCTCCTGCCCTCTTAGAACTGTTCAGCTAATGACATCCTTTACTTTGCAATGTGGAGCCTTGGTCACAAGGGGGAGCATGCGGGTGTGGATGGATAAAAAAATTGTCATCATAGAATCTCTAAGGCTCTTCAAACTTTCCCACCCTGTACCTCTCAGGGCAGAGATTGAGTCATCCAGAGAGGAGCCCTTGGGAACCAGAGAGGTGGTGCTGGAAGCCACCAGCCCCAGGCAAGAAGTGTCTATCCTCGTGTCTTCAAATTTCACATCCTCCCGTATTACACATCAGTATTACCATAAAGGGTTTCCCTAAGTCTACAGGAAATGCACAGTGATTATCCCGTGGTTTCTAGTACCTCCAGGAGATACGCAGCCCACGTGGGAAGGAGGATCTGCTCTTGAAAATGACATATTTTGGGGTGCTGGAGCTACTGAATGAAGGGAAATGGGCTGGCGTCAAGGTGGGTGGGTTTCTTCCCTGCATACCCCGCTCTGTTTGTCTGGTTTGTGCAGGAGCCAAACTCCAGTCAGTGCTTAACATGCTAAAGGCTCAGGCAGAACATTCCAGTGGAACAGGTAAAAAATTACAATAAAAGCTCTGGGTTCCATTACAGCCCCACATTCTTGCAGTGCAGATCCATTTTGTCAGTTTCTATTGTAAATATGTTTATCTATTGAGGTATGTCCTACTTGCCCTTTTACAGGCGGAATGGAAGCTTGGGTGGTAGTTTTCAGGTCAAGAGCTGAATAATACTAGTACATTCACACCACCTGCCTGGGACTTTCCAAAATGCTTGTGCTTTAGCTAAATTGTTTGAACCCTCACGGCAACCCTATGAGGGTAGATAGTGTTGTGACCATATTGCAGATGAGGAAATGGCTTCATCCAGGAGGTAAGGGATGGAATGTGGGCTGATGGGGAAGACTTTTCGATGGGACATTTAGGAAACATTCATGTAGTGGCAGCGTTACGATCTTGGTGAAGACAAGGAGACTCGGACTTTGCTTTCACGAGGTCCTTAGACCTAGCAGTCACCACTGAGAACCACGAGGCGGCCCAGGTGCTAAGGGATTCTCTTCAGCTGGGTCCAGAGGGCAGGTGGATTTTGTTTTTAAGCTTGTACTAAAACTATCAAGTAATAAATATACCAGCATAAGAGTAAAAAGATTCCTCCCCACTGCGTCACGGCCTGTCAGCTCAGTGTTGGCCACGTAGCAGGAGCAGCTGACTTCACAGCTAAACTCAACATCTCGGAGAGAAACCTGAGCTGCTTTTTGTGTAGGTCAGGTGTGAGCTTGCATACCTAGCCCCCAGAGGTTACCCCTCAATGCCACTGAGAGTGAATCCTTCGAGGCGGTCAGGCTCAAACCCAGTCTCTACCACTTAGCTCTGTGATCTTGGGCAAGTGACCTTTTAGTACCTCAGCTGCCCCATCTGTAAATGGGGTAATAGGACCATTCCTCTGATGTGTGAAAATTAAATGAATTAATATGTTCTTTGAGTGGAAATTGCTCAATGTTAGCTGCTATTATGCATATTTATAAATAACTTTTCCTGCAACTTGCTTGTTCTCATTGCCTTGGAGATCCCTGTCGGCGCATCAGGCATCAAATTCCGAAACCACAGATGAGCCATAAGCTATTTAATCAGACTGCTGTTGAGTGACACTGAGCCTGTTTTCTTTGTACACACTTGGGAAAGACTTCCCAAAGCCAAATGCTCAGGTTACAGGGTATATAAGTGCATTTGAGATGGTGACTCTTTCCAAAAGGCTGGAGGGTGGTGGCTTTGTATGTCTCATTTGTTGTTTAGATACATAGTACATGTGTGTAGTACAGAATTGAGTTGTACAAAGACAGCCGTATTTTCTAAGAAAGGAAAAAACTGGGCAATGAAGAGCAAACCTCTCTAGAAGCCACTACTGGGAGGGATCCCCCACTTTCAATCCTAAATATGATACATTTGGTTCTATTAAAAAGAAGATACCAAAGTTCTGTTTCTTGTGTGACGGGGTAAGTTTCTCACACACAAACCCCCCTGCAAATAACTAAATTCTAGACGACACAAAACAAAACACACAAAAACCCTAGCCAAAAAACGACTATCGGATGACTGGAGAGTGAACAAAGGCAGGAAGATTTGGGAGGGGAGCTGAAAGTTGCAAGGAGTCCACCACGGGGTTTTCGCGGTGCGCGTGTGTTTCCCGGAGGAGCCGCGCCAGGCAGCTAGGACTCGGGTAGGAAACCAGCTGTCTGACTGGCCTGAAGCAGCAGGGAGAGTCGGAATAACCAGAGCTGCTGGAAAGGAAAGTGCCAAGGAAGGAAAAACACATATATGTGTAAATTCAGCCCTGCTCCTGCTGACCTCTGGACTGTGAAGTGTGGGGCAGACACAGCAGGGTTGAATTGAACTGGGTCCGAGCTGTCCCCCTCCGCAATAGTCTAACAAACTTAAATGTCCCTTAAAACAAAAACAGTCACATCCTTTGGAGGATATAACAAAATCCAGAATGTCCACAACATTACCTTCATAATATCCAGAATACGGTCCAAAATTACCTAATCATCATAGGGTCAGGAAAATGTGACCCATTCTCAAGGGAAAAATCAAGATGACACAACCCAAGGGTTGGAATTAGACAAGGGCTTTGTTTATTTACCCTCACCCAAGGATATTTTTCCCCTTGCTTTTCAGAGAGAGTGGAAGGGAGAGAGAAACATCGATGTATCAGATGTGCCCTTGGCAGGAATCAACCCGGGGCCCTTCAATCCATGGGCAGACGCTCTAAGCACTGAGCAAAACTGGCTAGGGCTAATCAAGGACTGGAAAGCGGCTAGTACAACTATGCTCATCGAGGTTTTAAAAAAAAAAGCAATGATGAAAAATAGGAAATCTCAGCAGAGAAATAATGGATGTTCAAGGACTGAGAAAGACTATACCTGCAATTTTAAAAACTCACTGGTAGACCTAATATAACAGCAGCATGAAGAGAGAGAAAGGGTTACGTGAACTGGAAATAGATTCATGGGCATTACCCAGGCTAAAAAGGAAAATTGTTTTAAATAACAAGAGCTTCCAGGACTTGCGAGACACTCTGAAGAGGTCTGATACACATGTAACTGGAGTCCCAGAAAGAGGAGAGAAAGTGGGGAAGAAAAAATATTTGAGTAAGTAATGGCCCAAACTTCTGGAATTTGGTGAAAGACAAATATTTACAGATTTAAAAAGCTCAGTGAATCCGAAACAAGATGAATGTTATTTAAAAACACACAAACTGTGCCTGGGCATATTGTAGTCAATATGAAAATCAAAAATGAAGAAAAAATCTTGAAAGTAGCCGGACAAAAACAACACATTACAGAGGAACTATGACTCAAACGGTCCTGGGTATCTCATCAGAAACGATGGAGGCTGGGAGACAGTGAAACAACATCTTTTTAAAAAATATATTTATTTTTAATCCTCACCCAAGGATATGTTTTTCATTGACTTTAGAGAGAGGAAGAGAGAGGGACATTGATGTGAGAGAGAAACACTAATCAGTTACCCCCAACAGGGGATCAACTCGAAACCCCGGTACATGCCCTGACCAGGAATGGAATCTGCCACATTTTGGTGTACCGGACAACCTCCAACCAACTGAGCCACACTGGCCAGTGCTCTTTATTGACTTTTAGAGAGAGAGGAAGGCGGGGGGAGAGAGAGAGAAACATCGATTTGTTGTTCCGCTTAATTATACATTCATTGGTTGATTTTTGCATGTGCCCTGACCAGGGATCAAACCCAAAATCTTGGTGTAGCAAGACAACACTGTATCCAACTGAGCTGCCCAGCCAGGGCCTGAAACAACTTTAAAATGCTAAAAGGAAACAGTGAGTCAAAACAGTGAAAATAGGTATTTTCAGATAAAACTAAGAGACATTGTGGCCAGCAGAAATACACTGTAAGAAATGCTAATGTAAGGTCTTCAGGCTTATGGGAAATTGTCCCAGGAGAAACTTGGAACTGGAAATGGTAGATAAATGGGGAAATTTTTTAAAAAGACTTTTTCCCTCTTAATTTATTTGAAGTATGTATGACTAAAGCAAACGTTGTGACATGGTCTTGTGGACTTTGTCATGGATGTAAACCTAATCCATATGGCAGCTATAGCATAGACTGATGGAGCAGAGAGGCTTGGGGACCTGAGCAGTGGCAGCATTTCTACACCGTCCGTGAAGGGGTCCAACAGCCCTGAGCGAACAGGATGTGGGTGTCATCCCTAGAGCAGCACTGGATAAAGGCCGAAACCCCAGAGGATAAATTGAAAATAATTCTAAAAACTATTGAAATAACCCAAGAGAGGACAGGAGAGGAAACAGGAACAAAAATGGGACAATTGCCCTGGCCCGTGTGCCTCAGCTGGTTGAGCACCGTCCCATGCACTCAGAGGCCGGTTTGATTCCTGGTCAACAGCACATGCTGGGTTTTGGGCTCAATCCCCAGTAGGGGGCCTGCAGGAAGAAGCCAATCGAAGTTTCACTCTCACATCGATGCTTCTCTCTCCTTTTCACTCTCTGAAAAGCAATGGAAAAAATATCCTCAGGTGAGGATTAAAAAAAAGAAGGGACAGTTGGAAAACAAATAATAAATTTATCGACCTAATCTGGTCACGTGGATAACTCTGTGAACTGTTACTGTTAAAAGGAGGTTGGGGGCTGCAGCGAGGACCAACCAGAGCTTTACTGTCAGGCAGCCGGGTGTGTCCCCCCCATGGGCCTTGGGCATGTGCACAAGCGTTTAAGATGAAGAAGACTAGGCTGGTGAAACCAGCGCCCAGGGCCCCCATCGCTTGTTCACTCCTGTTTTGCCTCATTCCTTACTCACACTGACAGGCCCTAGTTCAAGTTAACGGCTGGCTATGCCGTTGTATGACTTTCCCTTTCCACTGCTGTTGGGTACGTGGACAACTGGTTTGCTCATTGCTGTCACCTGGACAGGTGCACGTCCGCTCCTGGGGGAGACGCCCAGGAGGGCAAATGCTGGACAGGGTTTTGACCAATGCCTCTCCAAAGCGATGGCTCCCTTTATCTGGCCCTGGCCTTTTAGGAGAAGGGCCATTTCCCCGGAACCTCCCTCTTTCCTGTGAGGACAGCGGGAAGGGGCAGAGCTGGGATCCGAACCTGTGTCTGCCAGTCCTACAGGGGAGCAGGCACAGAGGAGCGCTTGGCCCGTTGCCGTTTTCGGGAAGACAACCACAGGAGCACCTTCTCGCATCAGTTCCTCACCAGCTCTTGGTGTCAGCACTGTGCTAGGCCTTGGGGCAGTTACATCAGTGAGGCCTCGCTCTGAGCTTAGCTCCAGGTGCTCTCCCAGGTGTCACCTAGTGCCTGCGTGAGAGTGGGGACTGGCCAGTCTCATTATGGACATGTTCCCCAGGACTCCTCATCGTGGTGCTTCTGAGCACGTTACAGTTCACTCATTCATTCAGTAAATACGGAGCCCCCATGATATACTTGATCCAGGG